AGGGAAGGGAAGGGAAGGGAAGGGAAGGGAAGGGAAGGGAAGGGAGGGCGAGCAGTCTAGTCCAGTCTGGACTAGACTGGACAATTTGTGATAGCTATCACTCATCCAATGGAAATGTCAGTAGAAGTCAATAGATGATTGAATATATCAGTCAGGCTTCTGAGAAACTACCACTCTTTGTCCAATTTTGTTAAAAAAAATAAAGGTCATCTGAACTTGCTGCCTCCTTTCTCTCATTTCCAATCTTGAATTCACTGTCACATGGCTCCTGTCATCATTTCTTAATATAATAATTGAGACAAGGTCTCCCTCTGTTGTCCAGGTTGGAGGGCAGCAGCACTATCACGGCTCACTGCAGTCTCCATGTCTGCGCTCTCAAGTGATCCTCCCACCTCAGCCTCTGGAGGATTTAGGACTACAGGAGTGCACCACCACATCTGCCTAAAATCATTTTTTATTTTTTGTAGAGATGGGGTCTCACTATGTTGCCCAGGCTTGTTTCAAACTTCTGGGTTCAAGTGATCCTCCTGCCTCCCAAAGTGCTGGGATTACAAGCATGAGCCACTGAGACTGGCCCCTCTCCCACTGCTTTGCTGAAATTCTTCTGGCAAGCCCACCAAAGCCCTCCTCATTAACAAAAGCCAGGGATTCCTTTAGTCCCCGAGTTGTATTAGTCCATCTGTGGCATCTGCTGTTAGCTACTCCTGTTTAGAAAACTCCATCCTCGCTTGGCATCTACTAAGATGTCTCTTTCAGTTCTTCTCCAATATTCTTGACAGCTCTGCTCTCAGCTTATCTCATAGGTTCCTCTTTTTTAGTTGATACATCCAGGTTCTCTCCTCAGTCATCTCTTCCCACTGTCTACATCTGCTCTCAAATCTTCCATTCACACTCAAAGATGAATTACAACTGATTTCTTGATGATGAAAATTGTAATCTCCAGCATAGCTCTTTTTAGCACAATTGTGCATACATATGTGTGTATAGGTATGCATATGTATGTATATCATATATAAAATTGTTGAGCAGATACCATGTATAAAGCATTGTTCAAGATGTTTAATTATATTAACTCCATAAAAGATATACTGTGAACCCCATTTTATAGAAGCAGAAACTGAGCTCACATAATTTAAGAAAGATGCCCAAGGTCACCAAGCCAGCCTAATAAAACTACCTACTCTGTTCACTCCAGTGTGTGCCTGGAACCTCAACTTTACAATTGCAAAAGTAAGTTCAACTTTTTTTACTGAATTTCAACAAGCTCTTCCACTTTTTGTATTAGCATGGCCAAATTGTCCAAACTAATTTTTTTTTTTTTTTTTTTTTTTTGAGACGGAGTCTCGCTCTGTTGCCCAGACTGGAGTGCAGTGGTGCGATCTCAGCTCACTGCAAGCTCCGCCTCCTGGGTTCACGCCATTCTCCTGCCTCAGCCTGCGGAGTAAGTGGGACTACAGGCTCCCGCCACCTCACCCAGCTAATCTTTTTGTATTTTTTAGTGGAGACGGGGTTTCACCGTGTGAGCCAGGATGGTCTTGATCTCCTGACCTCGTGATCTGCCCGCCTGGCCTCCCAAAGTGCTGGGATTACAGGCGTGAGCCACCGCGCCATCAGTCATTGATTCTCACTCTGCTTGAGATCCTGAGTCAAATTCATCTACAAATTCTGTTAGTCCAATTAATTGTTAAATCCTATTCATTTCTTCTATAAAATATTTTCACATTTATCATTTTTCATTCTGACTTCCATGGCTCTCATCACTGTCTTCCACGAAGACAGTATTAAATTATTGACTCCTCTTTGCTACTGACTCTTCTCCTTCTTGCTCACCTCCACGTTAACAATAACATATTTTTCCAAAACAAGTTTCATTATGCTCAATTCCCTTCTTCAAATTTCCGATGGATTTCCCTTGTCTATGTAATAGGTGCTCACCTTTTCACACGGCACACAAGACCTTTTCAGCTTGGTCTTGTTCTACCTTTTATCCCTCTTAATCTCCAGCCACATTCTGGAAGGCATCCTTTGTTACGGTTACACTGAATTACTTAACCTTCAGCATGTTCACGCTTACATAGTTTTGCTTCTTCTCCTGCCTAGAATGACCTCTCCTAATAAATGTACCCCAAGAGCTCCTATTTTACAGTTAGTAATCAAACTAAATGCTACCTCTTCTTTGAACTTTATCTGATCCAACCCATCCAACTGAGTTGTTCTTTCATTTATATTACTGGAGTATTCCATACAAACCACTATTTTAGGTGGCATGGTTTCAGGTCTTTAAGTCCATTCATTAGCTCACCTATGAGTTCAATGATTACTGCAATGTGTGTAATTTGGCAATTTTTCGTTTTCTATAGACCTTTTATTGAATAGGCCTTTTATTGGATAATATACATATGATAACTAAAGAGAAACACTTTTTAATTATTATGTTACCCTTGTGACCTCAGATTTTCAAGCATGGCTATCTTTTCTTGAGAGAATGATTTATTTCATTCATATCAGTACTAATATACTGAATTCATTTCAGAATAAATGCTATGTCCTAATAGAAAATAAAACAAATATAATACTAGGAACTAGTTTTACTACCTTTATTCTTCCCAACTCAAACTGGAAAACATTCGGACTTGTGGCTTGTGCAAAAACCGCAGGAAATAATTTTGTACTCGGCTCCACCTGAAATACACAAATGAGTTTAATAATGTTAGTAATGAAAGAAGACAAGGGAAAAATAATTTCTTTATAACAACAAAGGAATACTTTACAGAAGGAACCCAGAGATTTTCCTTTCTTGCATATTGATTGATGTGCTCCTTCAATAATTAGAGTATTTCGTTACTATGTGAACACTGCTGAGGGAACATACTGTGTTTACTCTGAAGGGTTTATGGCACTGTCATTACTTAGCGGAAGTAAACATACATAATTAATTCAGTGTTTTCCATTTTCTTTTAATTTCTAATTTACTGTTTTTTAATTGACACATTGTACATATTTAATGGAATGCAATATGATGTTTTGATACGTGCATACATTGTGTCATGATCAAATCAGGGTAATTAGCCTGACTATCACCTTGAACACTTTTCATTTCTTTGTGGTGAGAACATACAAAATCCTCTCTTCTAGCTATTTTGAGATATACAATACCTGAGGGTTGACCATAGTCACCCTACTGTCCAATAGGACACCAGCACTTATTCTTCCTTTCTAATGTTAACTCTATATCCGTTGGATATCCACTCCCTCTCCCCCACTTTCTCCTACCCTTCCCCAGTATCTGATAATCACTATTCTATTCGCTACTTCCCTGAGATTAACTTTTTTTGATTCTACATATGAGTGGGCAATGCAGTATTTTTCTATGTCTGGCTTATTTCACTTAACACAATATCCTCCAGGTTCACCCATATTGGAGTGAATGACAGGTTCTCATTATTTTTTATGATCAAATAGCATTCCATTGTGTATATATAGCACATTTTCTTCACTTACTCATCCACTGATGGGCACTTAGGCTGATTCCCTATCTCGGCTATTGTGAATAGTGCTGTGATAATTATAGGAGTACAGATATCCCCTTCACACACCGATTTCATTTCCTTGGGATATATACCCAGTATGGGGAATTCTGGATCATATGGTAGTTCTGTTTTTAATTTTTTGAGGAACCTCTATACTGTTTTTCATAATGGCTATATTCATTTACATTCCCACAAACAGTATATGGGTTTCTCTCTTCCTCAGCATTCTTGCCAACGCTTATTATCTTTTGTCTTTTTGATAATAGCCATTTTAACTGGAATAAGGTAATCTTGTGGTTTTGATTTGCACTTTGCTGATGATTAGTGATGTTGAACATGTTTTCATATGCCTGTTGGCCATTTGTATGTCTTCTTTTGAGAAATGTTTACTAAGGTCTTTTGCCCCCTTTTAAATCAGATTGTTTGTTTTTACTATTGTTGTTTGTGTTCCTTATATATTCCGGATATTGATCCCTTATCAGATGCATACTTTGCAAATATTTTGTACCATTCTGTAGGTTGTCTTTTCACTCTGTTAATTGTTTCCTTGGCTGTGCAGAGGATTTTTAGTTTGATATAATCCCACTTGTCTATTTTTGCTCTTGTTGCCTGTGCTTTTGAGGTCTTGTCCAAAAAATTCTTACCCAGTCCAATGTCATGAAGTGTTTCCTCCATGTTTTCTTCCAGTAGTTTCATAGTTTCAGGTCTTACATTAAGTCTTTAATCCACTTTGAGTTGATTTTTGTATATGGTGAAAAACAGGGGTCCAGTTTCATTCTGCATGTGGATGTTCAAATTTCCAAGTACCATTCATTAAAGAAACTGTCCTTTCCCCAATGTATATTCTTGGCACCTTTGCTGAAAATTAGATGGATAGATGGGTTTGTTTCTGGGCTCTCAGTTCTGTTTTATTGGTCTATATGTCTGTTTTGGTTACTATAGCTTTGTAGTATAGTTTCAAGTCATGTAGTGTTTTGGTTACTATGGCTTTGTATATTTTAAACTCAGGTAGTATGATGTTTCCACCTTTATTCTTTTTGCTCAAGATTGCTTTGACTACTTGGGGTCTTTTGTGATTTCATAAGAAATTTAGAATTATTTTTTCTATTCCTATAATAGAATAATAATGTCATTGGTATTCTGATAGTGACTTTACTGAATCTGTAAATTACTTTTTGTACTATGGACATTTTAATAATATTAATTCTTCCAATCCATCCAATCCAACAGCATGAGATATCTTTCCATTTATTTCTGCACTCTTAAATGTATTTCACAAATGTTTTACAGATTTCAGTGTAGAGTTCTTACATCTCCTTTGTTAAACGTGTTCCTAGATAACTGATTTTTTTGTTTTTGTTTTTGTTTTTTGAGATGGAGTCTCGCTCTGTCACCCAGGCTGGAGCTCATCTCACCGCAGCCTCTAACTCCCAGGTTCAAGTGATTCTTATGCCTCAGCCTCCCCAGTAGCTGGGATTACAGGTGCCTGCCACCATGCCCAGCTAATTTTTTGTATTTTTAGTAGAGACGGGGTTTCACCATTTTGACCAGGCTGGTCTAGAACTCCTGACCTCAGATGATCCACCCACCTCGGCCTCCCAAAGTGCTGGGATTACAGCCGTGAGTCACTGCACCCAGCCGATAACTGATTTTTAAAGCTATTGTAAATGAGATTGTATCTTGATTTTTTTTCTCAGAGCATTCACTACTAGTGTAAAGAAATACTGATTTTTGTATGCTGATTTTGTATCCTGCAAATTTACTGAATGTATTAGTTTTAACAGTTTTTTAGTAAACTTCTAAAGCTATTTTTATATATAAGATCATGTCATTTACACACTGAGACAATTTGATGACTTTTTTTCCAATCTGGATGCCTTTTATTTCTCTTTCTTGCTGAATTCTCCAGCTAGGACTTCTAGTAATATGTTGAACAGAAGTGGTGAAAGTGGGCATCTTTGTCTTGTTCCAGACCCTAGAAAAAAAGCTTTCAACTTTTCCCCCATTTAGTCCTAGGCTTTTCTTTGATGGATACTTTTCATTACTGATACAATTTCTTCACTCACTATTAATCTGCTCAGATTTTCTATTTCTTCGTAAGTTAGTCTTGGTAGGTTGTATACATCTAGGAATTTATCCATTTCTTCTGGGTTATCCAATTTGTTAGCATATGATTTTTCATAATATTTTCTCATTACCCTTTATATTTCTGTGGTATCGGTTGTAATGTCTTCTTTTCAATGCTGATTTTATTTATTTGAGTCATCTCTTTCTTTCTTCGTCTAAAGGTTTATTGATTTTGTCTTTTCAAAAAACCAACTCTTCGTATCATTGATCTTGTGTATTGTTTAGTCTCTGTTTCATTATTGTTCCAATTTTTATTATTTATTTACTTCTATTAATTTGAGGTTTAGTTTGTTCTTGTATTCGTGGTTTTTGGAGGTGCAATATTAGGTGGTTTATTTTTTACTTTTTAAATGTAGGCATTTAATACTGTAAACTTCCCTCTTAGAACTGCTTCTGGTGTATCCCATAACTTTTGGTATATTGTGTTCCCATTTTTGTTTGTCTAAAGAAAATTTTAAATTTCTTTTTTAATTTCTTCATTTGCCCACTGGTTATTCAGGGGCATGTTGTTTAATGTCTATGTATTTGTAAAGTTTCCTCAGTTCGTCTCATTATTTATTTCTAGTTTTACACTAGTGTGATCAGAAAACATATACAATATCATCTTAAATTTTTAAAGATTCGTTTTGTGGCCTAACATATGATCTATTCTGGAGAAAGTCCCATGAACAGTTGAGAATAATGTGTATTCTTCAGCTATATAGCTGTTGCCTAGAATGTTCTGTAAATGTCTATTATGTCCCTTTGGTCTAGAGTGCAGTTTAAATCTGCTGCTTCCTTGCTGAATTTCTGTCTGGATCATCTGCTGTTGCTGAAATTGGGGTGTTGAACTCCCCTACTATTGTTGTGTTGAAGCCTCTCTCTCCCTTTAGATAAAACATACTTCATATATTTTGATGCTCCAGTGTTGAATGCATATAAATTCATAATTGTTATATCCTCTTAATTGATCCTTTGTTTTTATTAAATAATGACCTTCTTTGTCTCTTTTTTACTTTTTTTGAATTGTCTATTTTATCTAATATAAGTGTGGCTACTTCTGCTCACTCTCAGTTTCCATTTGCATTGCATATCTTTTTCCATCCCTTCACTTTAAGGCTATGTCTGTCCTTACAGGTGAAGTGAATCTCTCATGGGCAGCATAGAGCTGAGTCTTGCTTTTTATTCATCCAGCCACTCTATATATTCTAATCAGGCAATTTAATCCATTTACATTCAAGGTTATTATTGATAGGTAAGGAATCATTCCTGACATTTTGTTCATGTTTTCCAAATCCTTCATTTCTTTCTTTCTCTCTTGCTTACCTTTGTGGTTTGGTAGCTTTTTGTGGTGCTATGCTTTGATATCTTTCCCTTTCTCATTAGTGTGACTGCTGCAATTTTTTCTTTGTGGTTACTATGAAACCAAGATAAACAATATTGTAATTATAATAGACTATCTTAAACTGGTAACTTTGGTCACATAAAAACACTCTGGACTGGCTGGGCGCAGTGGTTCATGCCTGTAATCTCAGCACTTTGGGAGGCCAAGGTGGGCAGATCACGAGGTCGGGAGATCGAGACCATTCTGGCCAACATCATGAAACCCCATCTCTACTAAAAATACAAAAATTACCTGGGTGTGGTGGTGCATACCTGTAATCCCAGCTATCTGGGGGGCTGAGGCATGAGAATTGCTTGAACCCAGGAGGCAGAGGTTGCAGTGAGCTGAGATCACGCATCGCACTCCAGCCTGGTGACAGAGCAAGACTCTGTCTCAAAAAAAAAAAAAATACTCTGGACTTTTACCCTCCCCTCACAACTTATATTTCTGTTGACTTAATTTACATCTCTCTATATTGTGTGTTCCTTAACAACCACTTGTAGCTGCAGTTACTTTTGACAATTTTGACTTTTAACCTTCATACTAGGGTACTAGAGGTTTGAAAGATTTGGCATAGCACTGTTTCAGTACTGCAGTATTCTGAGTGTGATTTAAAATTTACTTCTACGAACGGGTTTTATATTTTTACATGTTTTCATGTTAGTAATTACCATCCTTTTGCTTCCAGCTATAGCACTGCCTTAGGCATTTCTTCTAAGGCAGGTCCAGAGGTGGTGAATTCATTCCGCTTTTGCTTATCTGTGGAGTACTCTATTTTTCTTCATTTCTGAAAGATAGCTTTGCTAGACATAGTATTCTTGGCAGGCAGTTGTTCTTTCAGCACATTGAATATACCATCTCATTTCCCTAGCCTTCAAGGTTTCTGCTGAGAAACTTGCTGACAGTCAAATGGAAATCCAAGTATATACGACTTGGTGCTATTCTCTCACTGCTCTTAGAATTCTCTCTTTTTCTTTGATATTTGACAGTTTGCTTATAATGTGCCTTGGAAAGGACCTTTCTGGGTTGATTCTCTTGGGATCCTTTGAGCTTTCTGGATCTGGATGTTTATCTCTTTCCAAAGACGTGGAAAGTTATTAGTCATTATTTTGTTAAATGTTTTCTGTGCCTTTCTCCGTTGCTCAGTGGCATCCCATAAGTTCTGCAGGCTTTCTTCCTTCTTTCTTATTTCTTTTTCTCCCTCTGGATGGGTTATTTCAAAAGACCTGTCTTCGAGTTCACAAAATCTTTTTTATGCTTGATCTAGTCTGTTGTTGAAACCCTCAGTTGTGTATTTTATTTCATTTATTGAATTCTTGAGTTACAAGATTTCTGTTTAGTTCTTTTCTACTATATGTATTTCTTTGTTAAATTTCTCATTCAGATCATGAATTGGTTTCCTGATCTTGTTGAAGTATCTGCATTTTATTGTATCTCACTGAGTTCCCTTACAATCATTATTTTGAATTTCTTTTCAGGCATTTTGTAAATTTATTTTGGCGACGGGCATCTGTTACTAGAGAATTATTGTGTTCCTTTGAAGGAGTCATGTTTTCTTCCCTCCACGTGTTTTTCATGTTTCTTTGATATCTGCTCATCTGGTAAAACAGTAGCCTCTTCCAATTTTATGAAGTAGCTTTTGTATGAAAATAGTTTTTCCTGTAGATGGGTTCTAGGGTATCGGTTGGGTAGAATACACTGGTTTTGGTTCTGGGTGGATGCAGTAATGTAGTATCTGTGCAGATTTTTCAGATGTAATTTATGTCAGCAGCATCGGCAAGTGCCTCAGTGGCCTAGCTACAGGCATTTGTGGTGGTGATTGTGCAGCTTTGTTGGGGTAAGGCCACCAAGGTGGTTCTCAGGTCACAGGAGTGCGGTGGCTGGGCAGCTATGGGGAGGGCTTGCTGAGGGCAGGTCTGCTTGGCTGGCTTTCAAACCAGGGGCACATGTACATGTGTCTATTTTACTTTTTGATCTTACAAACTGTGTTTCCTTTAATGGGGAAAAAAGTCTTCCTCCCTAGAAGCCTGATATCATCACTGACCACGTACCTGATAGTATGTGCTCAGTTCCTTGCCATTGGCAATGAACGTGAGCAGCCCGCTGGCAGCATCCACCACACAGCCGATCTCCAGTCCATTATTGTTGCGTCCTTGCCCGGGGCTCATGCTCTCACCCGCACATACCATATAGCAGTTGCTGCGTTTGATGCTGAATTTCAAAAGAACATTTTTATCTTTGTACAACCACAGATAAAAGAGAAAGCAGGTATATCTTGCAAACTAACTAAATTATGCTGCGCAAGCAACAAGCTCATGCTGTAATGGGAGAGGTGCACAATGGGCCCGATTCTGTGATTCTGAGCAAAACTCCATTGACTGCAGTGGACGTTCTGAATCAGGTCTTATACGTCTCTACATTTCACACCTAATGAAGACAGGTCAACAAGTTGGAACCAAGTAAGAACTGACCTGCACCTTCTCTCCAAAAACTCAAACCAAACTAGACCTTTTTTCTGGGTTCAAAAAAGTTTAACTATTTAAAAAATCATCCAAATTTGTAATTTTCATCTCATGGATTTTTTTTTTTTTAGTTTTTTTTTTTTTTTTTTTTTTTTTTGTCACCAGGCTGGAGTGCAGTGGTGCCATCTTGGTTCACTGCAACCTCAAAGTCCTCAGGCAAATTCCACATAAGCCTTCAGTGATTTGATATATTTAAAATTTGGCTAAAATTTTGCCCCTTTCTGGACAATTCCCAGTGATCTGAGAGACAGACTTAACTAGAATATGCAAACAAACAAACAAACAAAAAAACCCAGTGATGTTAACCACAAATGCCACCTGATTTTCACCTTCCCTAAAACTTTTACTAGAGATGGTAACAAAGTTGAGTATTTGAGCCTTATCAGCATTCTCTTTCTCTGCCACTATACAGTAAACATATTAACAAAACTAGCAAAAAAGGCTAAAGGCAGGCAAGCAGAAGGAAAAGAACAAACAGGCTGGGATAAATCAGTTTTTGAGTAATCAAATGTAGGCTGCATTTCTTCACACTATGTACGTAAAATCCAATGACCCTTCCCTATCTTCCATTTCCTCCAACAAAATCATCTTTCAGTTATTCCATCCCTATATTGAGTTCTTTAGTTATACTGCTGCCATCCCTGCAAATTAAGTGTGGCCCCCAAAGAATACTCCTGGAGACACGTGGTTTTTTTGTCCCATACTTATGTAAAGAGCTCTTCATTAGAGATTTTGGCTGGGCCCCCATTGCAAATGCTAAGTCCATTATGCTTCATATGTTACAACCCGAGGGCAGGAAAGTGAGTTTCCCAAAAAATGATGGTGCAAGTATAGAAGAAAAGCAACGTTATAAAGGACTCTTTCTGAGACCTGTCACAGCAGATCAGAGAGGATGCATGGGCACAAAAAGTAGAAGCCAATGGTCAGATCTTCTCTTGTCTTATTCTGCAAGGAAGATAGCCTTCTTCACTTTTTTGAAGGTTTGGTTTGAGTTTGGTTTGTTTTACAAATGAAAAAAAGATGGCACAGAAAGTGTAACTGACTTACCCAAAGCCACACAGCGAGTCAATGGCAAAGCTGAGGAAAGAACCCACTTCTCCTCAGTCTGAGTTCAAATGCGTCCACCTGGTCTAAACTACCAGCCCACATTGTCTTCACAGTTTTCTCCCCACCACGTAGCCAGTTCCCAAAATATAGATCAAGTCATTGGTTAAAAGCCTCACATTCACCCATCTCTCATGTCTAAAACAAAGGCTAAGTATTGGTAACCCAAGCTGTCAGTCATGTTACCTGAAGGAATATATGATCATTACCCCAAAAGACTGCACTGGTCTTACTGTACAATGCTTGCACGTTTAATACATTTAGATTCCTTACTGGTTTGTATGAGTAATAAAAATGACATTGACATTAATGGCTTGATTATATTGTTCCTACAAATAGAAATATCTTGGTCACAAAATACAAGGAAAAGGAACAGCTAGGTTCACCAATATGTTTTTCGCATGTCATTCTTGTAAAAAATTGAGGAACACCAACCTTTCATGCACTTTTCCTTTTTCATCTCCTAGAGTAACTGTTACTGTGCGAACTCTGTCCAAGTCAAAGCCTGTGTCATACTGATGGAAATCCGATGTAATCCAGCCCACCCAGACATTAGCAGGTTCTTGTCCAGGGAAGATTCTCACTGAGTAATAGTACTGTGAAGATAGCAAAACCAAATATTGGCAAAATAAAACTAAACAAAACAAAACTTGGATTTGCAATCCTAACTATGTCTAATTCTGTGAATGACTTAAGAATTCACTTCTTGGTTTAAAACCGTTTGGGTGAATGAAAATATTGTAGGCACAAAGGACTAACACTACAAACTAAGAGATGTCTTTTATCAAAGATCCTGAATTAAATCAGAAATAACAGGAAAGAGAGAAAAGACATGATCTGAGCAAACATGCTAAATGATTTAAGTCTTTTTATGCTGGTGAGCATGTGTGTGTGTGTGCTACATGTATGTAATATATACACATACATATATACATGTACATATATACAGTATATGTATGTAATAAAATCATGAATCCATTAAGCATAGGGAAGCTTCAAATTCTTCAAGCTTATACATACATGTATACAAATCTATGCTCACTTTTTTTTTTTTTTTTTTTTGAGATAGACTCTCACTCCGTCACCCAGGCTGGGGTGTAGTGGTGTTGTAGTGGTGTGATCTCAGCTCACGGAAGCCTCTGCCTCCCGGGTTCAAGAGATTCTCCTGCCTCAGCCTCCCAAGTAGCCGGGACTACAGGTGTGCACAACCACACCCAGTTAATCTTTATATTTTAAGTAAAGTCAGGGTTTCACCATGTTAGCCAGGCTGTTCTCGAACTCCTCACCTCAGGTGATCCACCTGCCTTGGCCTCCCAAAGTGCTGAGATTACAGGCATGAGTCAGTGCACCTGGCCAATGTTTGGGTTTTTATACTTGTCACCCACCTTTTTGCACATTCTTGGCCTTTCCTTTCTCTGACATATAACATTTTGACACTTTAAACTCACTGGTTTTTTTTTTGAGACGGAGTCTCACTCTGTCGCCCAGGCTGCAGTGCAGTGACACCGTGTTGGCTCACTGCAACCTCCATCTCCTGGGATCAAGCAATTCTCCTGCCTCAGCCTCCCTAGTAGCTGGGATTACAGGTGCCCACCACCACACTCCCCTAATTTTTATATTTTTAATAGAGACAGGGTTTCACCATGCTGGCCAGGCTGGTCTTGAACGCCTGACCTCAGGTGATCCATCCACCTCAGCCTCCCAAAGTACTGGGATTACAGGCTTGAGCCACTGTGCCCAGCCTAAACTCATTTTGAAATAGTTCAGAACATGTGAACATCAAACTAAAATATGGGAGCACTCTACAATGAACACAACTAAATATTTTTTCAATGTAGCATTTTAGGAGAAGTAGCCTTGAGAATTTAAAATGGAAGAGTGTAAAAGCTTGACCTCTCACAAATTATGATAATTGATCTTCCTTTAGACAATTCAGTAAGATGAAGAAAGTAGTTGAAAAATTCAAGGGCAACTTAAAATTTTGTCAAGAAACAGAATAGCAAAATTAAGATTATGCATGCCATTAAGAATATTTTTCCTAAAATAGCTCTTTTATTGCATAATATCTATCATAATACACAAACTTTTTTCAAACTTTCGGTCCCCAAAATATATCCCAAAATAGAAACAGACATTTAAAAAATAATATTACTAAGTATGATGAATCAGTATGTGTTATTTGAGATGTAAAGCATAATGAGTGACAATGAGTGACAAATAGAAATAAATGACAAAAGCTGCAACCTCATACCGTGGACGTTTGCATCAAGAAATCATAATCATCCCGATCATCAGCAAGGACATCTTCGGTGAGTCTTGCAGAATGGCTCGTGCTGTAATCTGGCTTTGTTCTTCTAAGCAAAAATCTGAAATATTTTAGAGGACTAACAATAAGCAACATTAAAATGTTCTGTCTACTTCAAATATGAGCATAGAATCAATTGAGTTGCCTTAAACCTGGGCGATCTTGCTCCCTGGGGGACATCTGGGAATATCTGGAGATACATGTTTTTGGTTCTCACAGTGTGGGGGATGGAGTGCTACTGGCATCTAGTGGGTGGAGGTCAGGATGCTGCTCAGCATCCTTCAGTGCCCAAGGTGTTTCCTCAACAAAGAATTGTCTGGCCTAAACTGTCGATAGTGCTGAGACTGAGAAAATCTGATTTAGTATAAGAAAGGATGTTAAAATAACTTGCCGCCTTTATCATAAAAAAATACTATTTGGAGAAAATACTCTGCAAGTTTCAGGCAAGAATGTAAACATAGACATCTTAAAAAATAACTATTGAGATAGATAGCATCTACGCTAACAAATTAGATGACTAACAGGTTGCTTAATTTTTCCTTATAGAATCCTTTGCACAAAGAGGAGGGGGAGGGGGAGGAGGAGGAGGGGGAGGAAAAACCTTACACTAGGAGACCCTTTACTCTGGACTGTAACCCTCCTCACTTAACTACAAACTTAAAATCACAGTGTATAAAATAGTAACCTTTGTTTCAGACGAGAGGGCTTTTCCTGGGCATAATCTTTGTGGTTATTAAACTCTGGCTTGGTAGCTTCTTTGTCTTTGTCAACACGATCGGGCACTAGATGGCCATGAGCTGTCTTCATCAGAACCTCAAAGTCAGAATCAGCATCATAATCTTCCAAATCATTCTTGGGCCCAAAAAGGCCAGCCCCAGGGAGCCCTCCAGCCACAGTCTTGGAGAAGACCTCCGCGCACTCGATCGGCATGCTCAGGCGATAGAACATGATATCAGTGTGGCTGTTCTGAGAACCAAAAGACTTCTGAGTGACCTTTAAACATGGGGAACTGTCTATGGTGCCGTCTATTCTGGTCACCTAGCAAATGAAGAAGCAATAGTTCATATTCCAATCACCGTTGTCGATTTCCTGATTCTAAAGATGCCTAAGGCACATCACGTTTTCAGAATCCCAAATCAGTCCACGCATGGCATCATTTTGTAAGAGATAATTAAACAGATTACTGTGCTATGGATATAGTCATAGAATTCTGCTTCTGTCTCTAAAGACGGTTTCGGAAATTTATCTTATAATTCTATATATTCAGATTCGGCCTGACATTGCCCACACATAAAAAGGAAAGTATTTTTCCTCATTCTAATAAGCTACTTGTAACGTAGCTTATTAGAATGGATGTGGCTCCCTTTGCCTTGATCTTTCTTCTAACTAAAGAGCTTGATGCGTACAAACCCCACACACAGTCTGAGCTACAGACTTCTTCACACATAGCTCAAGGGAAAAAAAAGAATTGAAAGCAAAAATTTAAGTTTCCCATCCACTGACAGCTGGTATAAAGTGCCATCTTTGCTGAGATTCCACTTCCGTATAACACATCAAGGTCATCATTTTAAGTAAGTCACAATAATTGTCTAAGCAGAAGTTGCTATGTATAAAGATATTCTTTTCCTGCTTTTTAGAAATGGCCTGATTTTGAAAGAAAAAGCAAACCTCTATATGTTCATGGTTTGATGGAACTTGGAGAAACTGAGGAAGCCTCTTGCTCAGCCACATAGTAATATCCCTGTTTGTATTAACGGCAAATGGTTCATAGCCCTCTTGTAAGCCACAGATGGTGAAGTATTTCAAGGTGCTGACATCCTTTCCAAAGTTCATCCTGCCCACTTGAGCCACTCCAAGGCTACACACAGGTATGAATCCTAGGAAGAAAAAAAAATAAAAAGTTTTAGTACCATTAATATATGATCCTGTTAGTATGGAATTATCACACATACTGTTCCAGGACTGAACTTTGAGAGAGCTGTCACCCTAGGGTGAAAAAAGTAGTGTAATAAAGGGAACAATGACATTAAATATTACCTGTAAGGGCGAGAAAACCAGGATTTGATCTTGACATTATAATTTACTAGCTGTAGGCCCTAGATAAATCCCTTCTCTCATCTCAGACTTAACTCTGTAAGACAAAGTAACTGCTCTGCAGCCCCTGGTCCTCCAGGGATTCTAGAGATCCCTGCCCTGCAGTTTCCTTGCTGAGCAGGGCATGCACTCTCTCATACAGGGAAAGTGAGAAGAAATTAAGTACCAGGGATGTGGTTCATTGGCCTTGCTCTTCCTTCTGGCTAAAGAGCTTGATACGTACTAACACCAGACACAGTCTGAGCTACAGATTTCCTCATACATAGCTCAAGAAAAAAAAAGAATTGGAGGACAAAATTTTAAAGTTTTCCATCTACTGATAGTTGCTTGTGATCTCTGAAGAAAATTTTGGCTTTTTTTTCTGGAATAAACTGGAGCTAAGCATGGGGGAAAAATACATGTTTAATGTATGAAGCATGTATTTATGCATGAGATATATTTATAATGCATAAATTATATATATAATCTTATATTTAGATGTAACAGCAATGAGCAATAGAGCAAAAACCAATAAAATATTTTTTTATTATGCTTTATGTTCTAGGATACATGTGCACAACGTGCAGGTTTGATACATATGTATACATGTGCCATATTGGTGTGCTGCACCCATTAACTCCTCATTTACATTAGGTATATCTCCTAATGCTATCCCTCCCCCCTCCCCCACCCCACAACCGGCCCTAGTGTGTGATGTTCCCCTTCCTGTGTCCAAGTGTTCTCATTGTTCAATTTCAACCTGTGAGTGAGAACATGCGGTGTTTGGTTTTCTGTTTTTGTGATAGTTTGCTGAGAATGATGGTTTCCAGCTGCATCCATGTCCCTACAAAGGACACGAACTCATCCTTTTCTATGGCTGCATAGTATTCCATGGTGTATATGTGCCACATTTTCTTAATTCAATCTGTCACTGATGGACATCTGGGTTGGTTCCAAGTCTTTGCTATTGTGAATAGTGCTGCAATAAACATACGTGTGCATGTGTCTTTATAGCAGCATGATTTATAATCCTTTGGGTATATACTCAGTAATGGGATGGCTGGGTCAAACGGTATTTCTAGTTCTAGATCCTTGAGGAATCGCCACACTGTCTTCCACAATGATTGAACTAGTTTACAGTCCCACCAACAGTGTAAAAGTGTTCCTATTTCTCCACATCCTCTCGAGCACCTGTTGTTTCCTGACTTTTTAATGATCGGCCATTCTAACTGGTGTGAGATAGTACCTCATTGTGGTTTTGATTTGCATTTCTCTGATGGCCAGTGATGATGAGAATTTTTTCATGTGTCTATTGGCTGCATGAATGTCTTCTTTTGAGAAGTGTCTGTTCATATCCTTTGCCCACTTTTTGATGGGGATTTTTCTTGTAAATTTGTTTGAGCTCTTTGTAGGTTCTGGATATTAGCCCTTTATCAGATGAGTAGATTGCAAAAAATTTCTCCCATTCTGTAGGTTGCCTGTTCACTGTGATGGTAGTTTCTTTTGCTGTGCAGAAGCTCTTTAGTTTAATTCGATCCCATTTGTCAATTTTGACTTTGTTGCCATTGCTTTTGGTGTTTTAGACATGAAGTCCTTGCCCATGCCTATGTCCTGAATGGTATTGCCTAGGTTTTCTCGGGTTTTTATGGTTTTAGGTCTAATATTTAAGTCTCTAATCCATCTTGAATTAATTTTTGTATAAAGTGTAAGGAAGGGATTCAGTTTTAGCTTCCTACTTACGGCTAGCCAGTTTTCCCAGCACCATTTGTTAAATAGGGAATCCTTTTCCCATTTCTTGTTTTTGTCAGGTTTGTCAAAGATCAGATGGTTGTAGATGTGTGGTATTATTTCATAAGCTCTTCTCATGTGTGTCAGAGTTAGCAAATCTTTCCTCTATTGAACAAAAAGGGGAAACTATACTAACTTTGTTAATTGTTTTTTTGAGCTCTTTGGAATTGATTGGCAACACAATGAGTTAGAAAGGAGATGAGATTTTTTTTTTCCCCACAAAAGGATGAGATGATATTCATCAGGGGTGGGTGTTTACTTTTTAATTTAATTTTATTTTATTTTGAGACAGAGTCTCACTCTGTCACCCAGGATGGAGTACAGTGCCATGATCTTGGCTCACTGCAACCTCTGTCTCCCAAGTTCAAGTGATTCTCCAGTCACAGCATCCCGAGTAGCTGAGACTACAGGTGTGTGCCACTGTGTCCGGCTAATTTTTGTATTTTTAGTAGAGACGGGGTTTCACCATGTTGGCCAGGCTGGTCTCGCACTCCTGACCTCAGGTGATTTGCCTGCTTTGGCCTTCCAAAGTGCTGGGATTACAGGTGTGGGCCATTGTGCCTGGCCTTCACTTCTTTCTACAATGTTTTACATGAATGTTCAAGTAGGCAGCACACTAAAAACGTCAGTGTTGGAATGTAGACAAATTAGATCCTCTAATTTGTAGAGCATAAAAGCAATGGATCCTAAGAATAAGCCAACAATTTTGACAAGAATTGTAGTTAGCTCTGTCATTATGATTTACACACTTTTCTCTTATTGAAATTAGTGGCAGTGCAAGCAATATATAACCCCCAAAATAGCATAAGATGATAAAAATTACATCCAATAATTCATAATGATTTCACCAGTTTGTATGCATCAACATATAGTCAAATGGATAGCTGTATAACAGTGCCACCAACCAGGAAAAAAGAGCATATCCAGCTGTGTTCGAGGAAGGGTAAATGATGAGTTTCTAGTTAAAACTAAAAAAAATTGCAGCTGTATCTGCAGCTGTGACAGCTCTTAAAGCTACATTCAAGGAAAGTTGTTTTAAATGAGTGTCCCCAAAGAAATCAAAGAAAAAGCACGGTGTAAATACAATAGTTCTCAGACAGCTTGAACTGCATTAGCAGAAATTAGTAAATCTAGCACCCATTTAACATAAACTAGGAGATACCAAGATAGAAACATCTCCTCAAATGGTAAACATCTATTTCTTTCTGATCACTTTATTTGTAGAAGGAGTTCCTAGCCTACATGGAAAGTTACTGGAGAGCCGTAAATATCTGTATAGTTGACCTTTGGGTATTTGTTTCACTAATACCTAAACTTTTCTGCATATCTGAAACACTTTCATTTAAAATACTCAGTCTAGTACTATGCACAAATATTTATGTCCTAAACTGTTCCCCATAGCTATGTTTATAATTCTAGAATACTGTTTTGATAATAAATATACTTTTTTTCATGAGATGAACATTATTCAGCCTTTGAAATTTTGGTTTTGAAAGGCCCCTTAATGCATAGGAAAATACTCCAAGTAATTATTATGTAAAGAAAGAAAGATAACATATGGTTTATTTTTAGATAGGAAAACATCAGTATGGTTTTTATTTAAAAGCTTCAGAATAGTGGAATTTTCGGTACTTTTGCTCTCTATGGCTCTCAATTTAACAATTTTCTTATATATATATATTATTATTATGAAAACAAGTAATAGCTTTCATTTAAAAAATTTTGTTTAATAAAATGGGACAAACCCACATCTTTCCCATAAAGAAATTTGTAAGAGTGATGTGGACATAAAATGGCCCAAACAACGTATTGTTTGAGTCCTAACACTCAATGTTGGTAGGTGGTGAATTCACTAACAGAAATCCTCCTAATCAACTTAAACTAGTACAAGATTTATGTAGAGCAAGTTGGTAATATGTGTTAAGAAGCTTTCAACCATTTATTTACTTATTCAATAATTACTTACTAAGCAACTACCATGTGTCAGAAAGTAGGAGTAAAAGATGACTAACACAGATCCAGGGTAAAACGTGCTCATGGTCTAATGACATAGAAAGAAAAGAAGTTATACTGGCTGGGCGTGGTGACACCTGTAATCCCAGCACTTTGGGAGGCTGAGGCAGGTGGATCACTTGAGGTCAGAAGTTCAACACCAGCCTGACCAACATGGTGAAACCCTTCTCCACTAAAAATATAAAAATTAGCCGGGTGGAGTGGTGGGTGTCTATAGTCCCAGTTACTTGGGAGGCTGAGGCAGGAGAATTGCTTGAACCTGGGAGGTGGAGGTTGCAGTAAGCCTATATTGTGTCACCGCACACCAGCCTGGGTGACAGAGCAAGACTCCATCTCAAAAAAAAAAAAAGTTGTTATACTGAAATAGCGTACCATCCATCTAAGCAGACAGGGTTCTAGGAGCAAAGGAAGCATGGAGAGATGGGAGTCAGGAAGGTTTTGTAGGAGAGTTAACATCTAAGAAGATGGCAGATGGATATTACCATGAAGTGACTAAAAACACAGAGTTCTAAGTCCAATAAACCAGGATTCATGTCTTAGCCCCACCACTTGTTAGCTATTTGACCTTTGGCATGTTACTTAAATTCTCTAAGCTTTACTCCTATCTTCTGTAACACCTGCCCCTTAGGGTTATAGTTTTAAAATTAGATCTTATGTGTATAATGCTTAGCATGGATGCTCAGTGAACTAAATTTTAAACGGAAAAAAAAAGGTAAAAAGAGAAAATAATTCCTGAGAAGAGAATGATTAACCATGATAAATACACAGGATTAAATGTGTGCAGCCATTAAAAATCATCTTTAGGGCTCAACAAAATAAACTGTAGAGAGAGATAAAATTAATATGGCAAAATAAAAATCATTGACGATCCCAGGTAAAGAATATACAGATGTTACCAAAGCATTTATTTTTGCACTTTTCTGCAGGGTAGATAGTTCTCAAAATAAAAAGTTGATTTAAAAAAAACAAAAAAGTATGTTTAAAATGTTTTTATGCGTTTGGA